TACCATTCTTTTTAATATCAATTTATCATTTCACATTAAATACAATTTCTGATATCAGACTTTCAATATATAATGGAATATAATAAATACAAATACATGTCACTACTTTTGATGTTATTCTTTGACTATGCAGTACAGTAAACATATTTAAAGGAACAAAACATGTTTTTACATGGTGGTCACCTTGGAATTTAATATGGCTGCTTAATGACCTTGACCTAAAATGGCTGTCATAATGACCTCTGATGAAATAGTTCCTATCAAAAATTGAATTTTGTGAGCTTATGTATGATTTTGCTGTAAAACACGACCACTTACAAACTATTAGGACATTCTACGTATTTAACAAAGAAATGAAATTGAATGACCTTAAATGACCATCTGACCATATCAAAAATGCTATAAATCCTTGACCATGAAAATATATTTTTAGACATCATAATTCTTATTGGAAGTTGTTTAAAAGAGAGAAATGAAATTGAATGACTTTAAATGACCATCTGACCATGTCACAAGTGCTATAGATCCTTGACCATGAAAATATATTTTTAGACATCATAATTCTTATTGGAAGTTGTTTAAAAGCCGATATATATATAAATAAATATAGGTTTTGCGTGGCAGCCATTTTGAAATTTAAGATGGCTGCCAGAATGACCTCGAATGAAATATTGTAGTTCATAGTAAAAAGTTTGAATTCTGAGAGCCTGGGTATGATTCTAATGTAAAATTTGACAATTACGTAATTTTAAAGATACCATAAAATATTTGACCTTGAATGACCTTGAATGACCTTACATGACCCATTTGTGGCAATCTGACCAGGTCAAAAATGATATGATTGTGTTCCTCGATCATATAAACATACTCTTAGACATTAGAATTATAATTCCAAGTGGTTTAGAAGCGGAGATATAGATAAACATAGGTTTTATTAGGTGGCCATTTTGAAATCCAAGATGGCCGCCATAATGACCTCGGATGAGGTGGTTCCTACCAAAAATTGAATGCTATGACCATAAGGAGCATGTAAAAAAAAATTGGTGCTTTTGTCCGGAACGTCCACATTAAGTCCAAATATGGCCCTAAGCTGCCGTACTACATCTTCATCTTCTTTTTTGGTGATCCGCTTCTCGAGCGGATCACCTATTGTAATTGTCAGGATCATCAACTTCTTTTTTTTCTTTCTCCCCATTTCTGTTCGCACGATATCTCAAAATTTCTACGAGTTACGCACACGGTCATTTCATCGATCATTTTGGCTTCACCTGTAATAATAACGGTAAGGTTTTCAAGGTGACCAGTCATGCATGATGTCAGCTACGTGCAATTTTGGGTTTTACATAATCGATCATATCAGCCTAACCAATTGCAATTTTGTAATCGTATTAAGTGAGCATTAACTTCGAGTCAATGTTAAATGTACTGTACCCTAATTTTACGCGTGTGCTTCGTATCGCGTGTGTCAAAATTTCAAAATGCTCGAAATCACTTTTTGACTAAATTAGAGCACGTTACACGCCATTTTGAGCATTTCAATTGTTTTTTTAAATTTACCACTACGCGTGCGCATTTGTACGCGCGCAGCACGTTCGGAAGCTAGAAATTAAGTTTTTTGTGACATTTTGGGTTCCTGACATTGTTTTTACAAGTTTCCGATCTTTTCAATCACTTTATGGCCAATAACAATGCCGTAGGTACGCATCAAACATAGTGAACTTTGTGCGCATTTGTGCCGATATACAGTGAAATTTTGCTAAAATCAGGCCTAAATTTAAACAGTTACAGCTCTTTAGGATGAAAGGTAACCCCCAATTTTTATTACATATTCTGAAAGTACATGAGTTGTAAATATGATTTTATAGGTCATAATGGCTGATCGGACATTATGACGTCATCATATTGCCATCTGAATTCAACAAACTGAATATTATCGATGACCTCATTTTAGCAAATGCGCATTTGAGCGTATATCGCTTATTCTTGATCGATTGTCTTCCAACTTTGAATATGTTATAGCTGTGACAATTCTCTTTCATATATTTGACTTCTTTTTACATTTTGATGACATCATCATGGTCAAAATATAGGATTTTGCTTACCCCGCTCATCTTTCTTTCGTCCAGCCTTTGATGACCCCATAATCACCTTAATCAGTCGTGATTTCTGAATCATATTTAGTAGGTATAAACTTCAGGTCATGGTTAAATGTTATGTACATTATATTTTTGTGAGCGCGTAATAACGCGAGCGTTCGCGTGCGTCAAAATTAATATAATGCTTTATATCATGTCTTTTTATAAATCAGTTATAGCTCCTTAGAATGAAGTGACCCCTAACTTTTATTACATATTCTGAAAGCACATGAGCTGTAGATATGATTTTATATATCATAATAGCTGATCGGACATTGTGACGTCATCATATTGCAATCTGAATTTTAAAAAAAAAATTATTTCTTTTCTCAAAACGTTGATGACGTCATATCATCTTAACCATTCGTCATTTCTGAATAATATTAAATGGGTTTATACTTCAGGTCAAGGTGTAATGTTAGGTATCTTACTTTTTTGTTTGCGCGTCTTAACGTGCGCGTACGCGTGCGTCAAAATTAAAATGTGCTTAATATCATGCCTTTTTTTAATCAGTTATAGCTCCTTAGGATGAAAGGTGACCCCCAATTTTTATTACATATTCTAAAAGCACATGAGTTGTAGATATGATTTTATATATCATAATAGCTAATCGGACATTGTGACGTCACCATATTGCCATCTGAATTTTTAAAAAAAATTATATATGATAAATATTATGAATGATAATTACTTCCTCACCAGCAGGCGTTTGTCAATAAAAGTTGATACATATATATCTCATATCAGGAGACAACATTCTGACATTAACATGCCCACGTGTGTCATGGCGTGCGAGTACACATGAGTATATCTTTAAAAGTGTTCCAAATTCTTTTTTAAAAAAGCTGAAATAGCGTATATCCAAGCCATTTTCAGCATTTAAATATTGTTCAATCAGCACCGCGCACACTTCGTCGAGGGTCAAAGTGCGGCGGATCACCTAACTTGTCCTCAGTGACGAGTTCAAATCTAGTTTTGTTCCTGCTTGTTTGTTTCTGCTTGGAAGTTGATAACTTATTTGATCCTTTCAAGTGAACTTGAGCTATTCAAATTTATAAAATTTTTGTTTTTGTTTTGAGGCAGTGTGTCTTTAATTTTTTAAATATCATCATCAGTCCATATATAAATTTGTCTGAGAATATTTGAATGTATACAAAGAGACCAATGAGTATAATCTAAATCTCAAAGAATAATAAGGTATATTATTATCATATACTATATTGAGTAAGGACAAAATGTTTGTGCCGATTTACCGTACAGATGCGTGCACAGCTCTGGAAGAAATATATTGTAGCACCATTCTTTTAAATGTCTTGCCGTTATTTGCATACTGTATTTATGTGTATTATTATTATTGAGTTCATATATATGTGTAATAAAATATCATAAAAAAACATTTTACAATAATACGAGTCAAAAAAACTTTGGACGAGGACTTGTCACGCTACAAAAGCAACATGCGTGAGAATTGTTCATTATTCAAATTAAGTTTGTACTGTAGAGTATGGTGAAAGGAGCAGAGTACTCAGTAGTAGGTAAGTGGAATGTACCACTTCAGTGAGTACAGCTGATACAAACGCGTGTATGTTCACTAAATATAATGGAATGAAATATATTATAAAATGACCATGTTAATCACTAAAATAAGTCAATATGTGACGAATAAGGAATGTCTACAGACTACATTCATCACAACATTTTAGCATGTATTGTATAACCTTTTTTTTACCACATTCTTCACCAGTAGGCATATTTTCTAAGTACCTGCTTTAACATTATAAAAAAAAATTTTATTGGCTCATGTTCAAATTTAAAGAGTAATTTGACTTTCTTCCTAAAATGACAGTTAAAGAGGAAAAAGTATTCAATATTTAATGCTTTAGAATATTCTGTTATGGCAGCATTTGGCCGACTAAGCTTCAGAGAATGATTAGAGCAGGGGCGAATTTGGGAGGGGGCGGGGTGGCCCGGCCCTCTCCCTCCCCCCTTTTTTGGAAAGTTTAAAAAAAAAGAAAGAAAAATTGGATCGCCCAAAATGCCTTAAGAGGTTATCAGGGCTCCCGAGACTTACAAAAAAATCAAGAAGACCTTGTGCACTCCCGCAAGCAAGGAAGAATCTCCCGAAAATAACTGATATCCTGCAAATTCATGATATTTGTATATTTTAAATATTTTATTGTCAATTGTCTCATGGAAGTCAATTTCGATGGGTATCACTATACTGGAGTATAAAAATTAGATATGTTAACAAAAGTTTAGGTACTGAAGATCAGTTTAGCATTCAAAGACTTCAAATAAAAACAAAATTCTGTTTTTGGCCAGTTACCATCGGCACAAAAATGGAAATTTCATAGAAAAAAGAAGTTTTCTTTATTTTTAGTACACCCGCCTCTGCCTTAAAATCTTCAAAAATATGATATGTATATTTCTTCTTAATTATATAAATTGAAAGCATTTAACCATCATACTACACTGTTTACATTCACTATAAAATTGTTAAATATAAAATATAACAAAATATAATTTAAAAATTTTTTTTCTGCCCTCCTCTGATGAATTTTAATAATTTTTATTAAGTTCGCGAAACAATTTTTAAAACAAATCTCACCTTACCTGCTACCATAATCAGGAATATTACTATACTGGTACATGCGGTGAGCAATGTTTTTTTTCTAGCACTTTTAATGCCAAAACTGGGTTAGTGGATTACTGTAGTTTGATTTCTGACTAAAGCTACTGTATTAAAATTCTTTTATTTCAATACTTTAACTGGCAGTTATAACTAATTATGAGAAGTTTTCAGTAAAAGTTTTAAATTATACATAAAGAATATAGATAAATCATGATTGAGTATTCTTGTTTATTTCAGGAATGAATGAATGAAAAAGACTGAAGCAGTAGCTGTACAAAGAACAATGAACATGGAAACAAGTAAAAGTAATAAACTAAAAAGACATTTCAGTATTTTGTCATCCTCCTTTTAGAATCAAGACATCCTACAATACTTTTACTTGTTTCCATAGGTTGTGATATTATTAGTACATTTTATTTTTATTTATTTCATAGAAGCAACTTTTGCAGATTTTAAGCTGTTTGTATCAAATTGGTACGATGAACACATACCCATCAATATGCTGAAAGTATTATTCAAGGACCATGTAAAAAATACTTTTGAATTACATGTTTCTTCTAAGACAATAACCTTAATGAATATGTTGGAAGCATCTGGAAGTTTGAGGCCAACAGACCTCACTCTCCTCTATGATACTATTAAGGCAACAGAGCAATTTGGTCTGGAATATAAAATTCAAAATGAAATGCCATCATTCCAAATTTCCAAAAGTATAAGGGATAGTGTAATTACAAAATTCACACCACATCGGCAAAAACTTGTAAAGCTGGGATTGGCGCTCACTCCAAGTGATGTACAAAAGATCAGTGATCTGTATGAGGTAAAACATACAGATAGCTGGAGTTTGATTATGGATCTAGAACATAATCTGGTTATTTGTGAAGAAAACATGGATGCATTCATTGAAAAGTTGAAAAAACACAAACTCCACCAAGCTGTGAAAGCTGTAACAGAAGGTATTTCTTTTCTTTTATATCAGTTTAATAAATGTTGATTACTGTCAGTGCTTGTAACTGAAAAAAAACGTTGTGCACTAAAGCATGGAGTACAATGAAACACAAGATAAAATCTGAACAAGAATTTCAGATTGAGATGTCATCACAAATCCCCTGGCATGTCACACCTGGCCCTGTAGTATCCACTGTTAGTGGACAGAAAATTGTAACTTCATTTCACACTAATTAGCATGCTAGATTACAGCAGAAGAGAATTCTTTATTTATTTATTGTAAAAATTTCTGGGGTTTTTTGGTTTGGTTTTTTGAACCATTTATTGGAGAGCCTCGCCCACTCATAAACGAATAGTTTGAAAAGATTAAAAAACAATAGAGCACCAGGTGAAGACGATCTACAAGGAGAACTCTTAAAGTACGGTGCAGATATAATAGCACCATACATGTCGCTGTATATCACAGCAATACTCAACAATGTATCTAAAACTCATAAAATACTTGATGTTAACAGTGGTATCCTCATACCCCTTCAAAAGCCAGGAAAAGTAAAAAGACCTGCCAAAAATCTTCGCCCAATCAACCTCCTAAACACCATCAGGCAGTGCATATCTGTCGTGGCACTTGAGAGAATCAGAGATAAGGTCAAATCTAACTCAATGAAAATGAAAGTAAGAAATTACTGGCATCAAGTCAACACACTTATCAAACCCATCCTTCTTTACAATAGTGGAACATGGGGATTAACCAAAGATATTGAGAAGAAGCTTGACACATTTCACAGACGTCATCTAAAATGCCTCATCGGAGTTATATATCCACATAAGATATCAAACAAAAACTTATACAAAAGATGCAACGAAAATCAAATCTCCATTACATGCATTCTGGCACCTCTTTGGTCATAATATCCTTAGACTTGATGAGCACACACCGGCCAATCGCCATGAAGTTTTACTTTTCTACTCAGCAACTGAAATCCAGAGGCAGACCCAGAACGACTTTACCCATAACCCTTCAGTCAGACCTCATCAACAACAAACACAATCTAAAATTACAATCACTTAACTATCTCTACACCATCAAAACTCTTGCAAAAGATAAGTCATGCTGGAAAGACCTCATCTGAAACCTTACTAAAGCAGCCAAGGTGGAGAAGTCAGGAGAATACTCGGCGTAGCAGTAGTTAAAGCGTTAAAAGTCAGTAAATCAAGTCAGTAATCAAACACAATAATCATATAAAAAATATCATTTATATGGCTGTTCCATGTCAAAACATCTCAAAATGCTTGACTGTCATAGTAAAAAACATGCAACCAATTTATGAGTCAAATTATTTATTATGGTAAATAATAAATAGATATTTAATGTACCAGATCAATTGTTGAATTAACTTCCAAAGCCATCATCAAACCTAGGAAAAGCAAGTGGTAAGATAATGTTCACATTGGTGTCTTATGATATGATGATGTTATCTGTTAATGTTACTGTGTTCTATATAATAACTCTACTACTACTACTGCTGCTGTTACTACTACTACTGCTACCACCACCACTACTGCTACTACCACTACTACTACTACTACTACTACTGCTACTACTACTACTACTGCTACCACCACCACTACTGCTACTACCACTACTACTACTACTACTACTACTACTACTACTACTACTACTACTACTACTACTGCTACTACTACTGCTACCACCACCACCACTATTACTGCTATTTTTCATGGTTAACACTGTAGATTTAGGGTGTGAAAAAATTCCCTTTAAATTCATAATATTTTGTACAGATATATAAAATGTTCTTATTTATAGTAAAAAAATAATTTTAAGAAGCCCTCAATTATCTCTCTCTTGATAGCTTGTAGAATGCTGCTTTTGTGTATTTTTTCTTCCTGTTTGCAAGAATAGAATATTTAATATTAAAACATTTTGTATTTTATGATTTATATTTGTATTAAAATAATCACACACAAGTGTGGCATTTACAGTATTGTATAGAGGTCTTCCATGTCTAAACATGTCAAATTTTTTTTCATATCACTGTAACAATGTAATTGTTAACTACACTAATATACTTATTTTAATGTACTGGTTATTGAATTATATTTCAGAAATTCCAAAGCCACCATCAAACTCAGGACAAGCAAGTGGTAAGATAATTCATCTTATTATAATGTTACTGTTATTTGTGCAAATACTTTATTATACAGTACAGTAAAGTAGTTGATCTGGGCAGTAGCATATCCAGGATTTTCAAAAGTGGGGTGGTGAGTAGAAATATTACATCCACTGAACTTTACACCAGGTGCAAAACTAGGGACGGATATAGTTATCGATAACTATGACTCCTCAAGTCCATTGGTCATTACTTTCTAAATAAGCTTACTTTGCAATTTATTTCCATTAATTTACTATGATTTTTTTCACATTTCAACAAAAAGGTTCAGGCTTTGTGAAACGGTAGTTCTATTCTTGCCGTGGTTATTGTGGTCATTTATTCACTGTGGGATGGTACACACAATAGTGAATGCATTGAGGCCCTGTACAGTCGTCCACAGTGGACTCAGTTCAGGTCATTGTTTACTAGCCTTGGGATTGCAAGTCTAGTTAAACATAGAAACAAACGGAAAACGGAGCAAAGGTACCTTACTATTCTAGCTGTTATTGCCCATCCTGTTTTCAACCTGAAATCCTTAAACGGAAAACGGAGCAAAGGTACCTTACTATTCTAGCTGTTATTGCCCATCCTGTTTTCAACCTGAAATCCTTTTATGCGGGGACGTGGAACAGAATCCAGGACCAGAAATAAATAAAAACAACAATGATGGAGCACACTCTACTGCAAGCATCACACCTAATACCTCTGGCAATTACAAACCTAAATTTTATTATCAAAATATTAGAAGTCTTAAAAATAAATTAGAAACCTATCACTCGGAATTAAATGCGCATATTTTTAACTGCACTTTCGACTTCGTTGGATTTACTGAGACGTGGTTAAACTCAAGAGTGTTTGACTCAGAACTTCACTGTCCAAGCTTCACTATTTACAGAAAAGATAGAGATGATGGCAGAAGAGGAGGTGGTGTTTTGCTCCTTGCATCGAATCAATATAAATCCCGGCGCTTGACACATCTTGAAAAACCAAATCTTGAAATTATCTTGGTTGAAATTAAATTAAGTAAGACTAAGCATTTGCTAGTTGCAGTTATATACAGGCCGCCTAGTAGTGGCAGAGACACTGTATTATAGATTTCACAATCAGTTGAAGATGCACTAACAATGTATTCAAGGCATCAAGTCATTCTCATTGGTGATATGAATCTTCCCGAAATCCGGTGGACCAGTGATGGAATTGGGACTGCACCTGCCAACTCGATTGGTGAACTTTTTATTGACTGTTTTATTAATGGGCATAATCTCTTTTAGTGCAATAACAATAATAATATTAACTCCATTTGCAATAATAATATATTAGACTTAATCTTGTGCAATAATTCAATTGATTTAATTACTGATATTTCTGCTGGACAGAATATGTTTGACTCCGACCATTTGTCTCTCTCATTTACGTTTCACTTTTGTACTTCAAATTATTTTTCTAGAGATTCTCGAAAGATTTATAATTTCAAGGCTATAAATAATGTAGACCTCATTAGCACCTTTAATACTATTCCGTTTGATTTAATTGATTCATGCAATGATATTAATGATAGTGTTTCTCTTTTCTATGATTTAGTTGATGCTGCCCTCCGTGACCTTGTGTCTACCATACGACCTAAGAGAAAAATGCCTCCATGGTTTGATTGTGAGGTCCGTGCTGCCCTAAAACACAAAGAGCGAATTCATCGACACCTAAAACGCTATAAAACTCAAGAACTCGAAGATTCTTTCTCTATTGCCAGAAAAAAATTTAAAACATTAGTAAAAATTAAGTATACCAATTATATGCAGTCACTATCTGGTGATTTGAAATCAAATCCAAAGCGCTTTTGGTCCTGGATGAAAACCAAAACTAAATCATCATCCTATCCTTCTGTTATGTCGTATGGTAACACGGTTGCAGAGACAGCTAATGAAAAGGCTTCTTTATTTAACAATTGTTTTCATTCTGTCTTTAAAAAAAGTTCAAATTTAACTGAAGAACACCAATGTCTTCCTGAGGCTCCCGTTGGTATGCTCAGTACTCCTGTGATTCATCCTGAAATCGTTAGCAAACTATTGACATCAATTCAAAAAAAATAAGGCATCTGGAAGCGATAACCTCAGTAATCACGTTCTGAAACTTTGTGCTCATCCACTTTCCGTTCCCATCTCCAATCTCTTTAATAAATCACTTCAAACTGGACAGTTCCCTTGTCTTTGGAAACATTCAAATGTTGTTCCTATTCATAAAGGGGGGACCAAGAAATTTATCTCCAATTATAGGCCTATTTCGCTGCTACCAACCATCTCTAAAATATTTGAAAAAATTATTTTTAATCACATCTGGACTCGCGTTTCACCTGCCATTGCTTCCTGTCAACATGGTTTTGTGGCCGGTAGGTCATGCTAAACAAATCTTGCTAGCCTTCTGACTACAGCCTACGGAGCCATTGATGACAGGAAGCAATGTGACATAGTTTATACCGATTTCTCTAAGGCTTTTGATTTAGTTCCACATAGTTTACTATTGCTAAAATTACAACGTTTTGGTTTTACAAATAGCTGGTTTCCTGGTTTAATAGTTTCTTAGATGGTAGGTTGCAGCGAGTGGTCATTGACGGTGTTGCATCGGAGTGGCTTCCTATCCACTCCGGTGTTCCACAGGGCTCAATTCTTGATCCCCTCCTTTTTAATCTTTAGTTAACGACATTCCTAATATTATATCATATTCCAGATGTCTTATGTTTGCTGACGATGTCAAGATTTTCAAAATAATTAGCAGCAGTGAGGATACCAACGGGCTCCAGACGGACCTTAATAGATTAAGTTCTTGGGCGTCAACTTGGGGTATGTCCCTCAACCCTGAAAAGTGCAATATATTATCTATTTCGTTAAAAAAGAATATTTTAAAGCACAATTATTTAAACAATGACAATCCCATAAATCGGGTGCATTCACACAAAGACCTTGGTATTTTCATTGATAGCACCCTTAGTTTTTCTCATCATGTTGATTATCTTGTTGGCAAGTGCAATAGACTGCTTGGGCTGATGTGGCGCAATTGCAAAAACTTTGACAGTCAAACTAAACTACATCTTTATTTCAGTATTATTCGCCCAAACTTTTGTTCAGTTATATATAATTCTATTTCCAAAACCCAAGCTTCATGTATTCATCGATCTTCTTGCGCTACATCAGCCACAACCATAACCACAACATTCCTTACATTCGATCTCCGCAGTCCTGTAGGCAGTTTTTTGATCTTGTTTTTTTATATAAATGTGTTAATCCTTTTTTCGATTGCGATTTGTTAAGTAATTTTAGTCTTAGAGTCCCCAGTTGGCGTCTTAGAAATAATCCAATTTTCATATTCCCTTTAATAGACTTAACGTGCTTAAAAATGGTTTTATTAGTAGATTAAGCTTAGCTTATAATTCTCTTGTTTTAAGGAATCCTGATATTGATATTTTTAGTGATAATTTCTCTATGTTCCGTAACAGTGTTAGAAATATTTTACATATTAGGCCCGCTTAATCTGATATTATTATCACATTGTTATTATTATTATTATTATTATTACTTTTTGTATTTATTTTTGTATTCTTCATGTTTACTATATTTATGTATCCATTTGATGTTTGTATTCCCTCCTGTAAGTGGCGAATTTTATGTTTGCTGTTGGCTGGGATAATAAATAAATAAATAAATAAAAATATGGTGTGAACAAATTCCCTTTTCTATTCAGTAATCAAACACAATAGTCATATAAAATATCATTTATATGGCTGTTCCATGTCAAAACATCTCAAAATGCTTTACTGTCATAGTAAAAAATATGCAACCAATTTATGAGTCAAATTATTTATTATGGTAAATAATAAATAGATATTTAATGTACCAGATCAATTGTTGAATTAAATTCCAAAGCCATCATCAAACCTAGGACAAACAAGTGGTTAGATAATGTTTACATTGGTGTCTTCTTATGATATGATGATGTTATCTGTTAATGTTACTGTGTTTTATATAATAACTCTACTACTACTACTGCTGCTACTACTACTACTACTGCTACCACCACCACTACTGCTACTACCACTACTACTACTACTACTACTACTGCTACTACTACTACTACTGCTACCACCACCACTACTGCTACTACCACTACTACTACTACTACTACTACTGCTACTACCACTACTACTACTACTACTACTACTGCTACTACTACTGCTACCACCACCACCACTATTACTGCTATTGTTAATGGTTAACACTGTAGATATAGGGTGTGAACAAATTCCCTTTAAATTCATAATATTTTGTACAGATATATAAAGTGTTCTTATTTATTGTAAAAAAGTTTCAGAAAAAATTAAAGTTTTACTTTATTTTTATTAAACCTTTCCCTGCCTTGAAATCTCCAAAGATAAGATATGTATATTTCTTCCCAATTATATAAATTTGAAGTATTTAACCACCCCATTCTACATTCACCAATAAAATTTTATTTTTATTTTCTCCTCAATCTGGATGTTTTTGGCAAAACTATGTGCTAAATAAGAAAAAAAAACGTTATTTTTATTCCACCCCAACCCCCTCCAATGATCTTTAAAAAAATAAGTATGAGAAACAAGGAATGAAAGGAGTCTCACCTAGTGGAACATAATGTCCATGTTTCTTTATGGTCATACACTGTATTTCTCCTCTTCAAATCAACAACAGCTTGATTTTTGTCCTGTGTCATTCCAGTTTGTTGTTCTATTCACTATTGATTATTTCTTGTAGAAAACTGAAATGTTTACAAAAATACTTATTTAAAGCCACACCCTAAAACCCTGGGTTACTATTAATTTCTTTAGTTTTTTTTAGCCAGTTATAGTATACAACCATTTGAACCACTCATGCTTTCTCTGTGTCAGCAATTCTCTGTGTCAGCAGGTTCGTTGAAAAGGTATAAAAAGAGTCTTGCAAAATAAATATTTTACTCTATAATTATGTGATTAAAAAATCCAGTGTTTTAAAAATAATGTTAATAAGATAAAATATTTAAATTGTGTTACTTTAAATGTTAAAAATTTATTGTAAACATTTAACATTTAAGGTAGAATAAACATAAAAATTCATATTTCCACATTTTACTGTATAATAGGAGCCACATTACAATGCAGATATCATTTTTGGGAAAGAGTACCACAAGGATTTATGTGCAAACTATTTTCATTTACAAAAGAGGTACCCTATGATCACTTGAAAGCAATGGCATAGTCCAATATTACATTTTTATAAAATAATACTATTCAAAAATCAAATTCACATCATTCCATATATACTTTTCAGTTTTTCTTCTTTTGTAGTTCACTATGGTTCTTTTTATGGCATCATAAGTGATGACATTGAATGGGAGAGTCAGATGGTGGTGGACCTAACACAAAGAAGACCAGATTTAAAGTTTATTATCCTCAAACATTGGAGGTTGGGCAGATCTGAAAATATTAATGATTTAATAGCAAGAAGCAGGAAAGTGATCATTGCATTTTCACCAAAACCATTGACTGAATATTCTAAGTATGCTGCACACAGTGTTGTTGTAAAAATGCTGGAAGCAAAAATACTTGATGATGCTAAGATAATACCAGTCAAAATTTCAGAAGATTTTGTTGTACCTCCTATGTTTGAATCATTTACTGTCATCAGTGCCAGTGAAGAAGATTTTGTTGACAAAGTTCTGCAAGATATAGTTGAGTGTGGTAGGTATTAACAGCTCTGGTATTATTATTACATCCATTTGTTTGTAGCAGAATTATGCAAAAACTAATGAATGGATCATAAAATTTAGTGAGCAGTACATAATTGTCTGAGAGAGAAGTGATTTAATTTTGGGATGAAAGATCAAGACCAAGCTGTTAACAGAAAGTCAATATCTCAAGTAATAAAAACAGAGGTATGCCCTCTTATCGAGTGATGGCTCTGTATATTAATTTTTGCCTCCTACAGTATGCCATACATATTAAAATAGACAAGTACATATATTCAAAAAGAATAATACACAATCTAGTAATAATATTATGATGGAAAAGGTGGCAATTACAAAAAGAAATAAAAGAATAATGAATGCTGGTAAATGGCATTGTAAAAATGATATGAATTGTAATATTAGGGTTAAAATATTATTTGTAGACTAAAAATTTCAATTATTAATCATAGAAAAATTGCTTTATTCACTTGAAAAGAGGAGACAGAAAGTGTCACACCTGATGTGCCATCCCTTATAGCCCTTGAAGGAACATCTGAAGAACTGTTAAGCGATGAACACAAGACACAGCTAGTGGGAAGAAGTGAAAGTGAGTTTAGCTTATTGGTGATTTTTCTTTCTTTCTCCCCATTTCTTTTCGCACGATATCTCAAAAATGACCTACGTACATGCGCTCTTCAACAAACATTTGGCTTGGAATGGAGTAGTCACAGTAAGCTTTTCAATGTGCTCAGTCATGCGTGACGTCATCTACGCACAGTTTTGCGCTTTTACATTATCTATTATATCTTGCTAACCAATTAACATTTCTAAATCATATTCGATCGCCTCCCACCTTTGAATATATTGAAGACAATTCTCTTTCATATATGTGACTTCTTTTTACATTTTGATGATGTCATCATGGTCAAAATAAATGTTTTTCTGACCCCCTCATCTTTCTTTCCTCAAAACTTTGATGACCCCATAATCATCTTGACCAGTCTTCATTTCTGAATCATATTAAGTAGGCATAAACTTCAGGTCAAGGTTGAATGTCATGTACATTAATTTTCTATCCGCGCGTCATAACGTGCGCGTACGCGCGTGTCAAAATTAAAATATGCTTAAAAATCATTCCTATTTTTAATCATATATAGCTCCTTAGGATGAAAGGTGACTGCCAATTTTTATTACATATTCTGAAAGCACATGAGTTGTATGATTTTATAGAGCATTATGATCAGAAATTGTGACGTCATATTTCCATCGGAAATAAAAACAACTGAATTTGTATTTATAGCCTCATAATTTTTATAGTCACTTGAACGTAGCTCGCTTATTGTTGATCAATCAACTCCCACCTTTAAATATACTATAGCTGAAACGTTTGCTTTCGCAATGTGTCATTCATTTTTTTACTTTATGATGTCATCATGGTCAAAATGAATGTTTCCCTGACTCCTTCAGTTTTTTCAGAACCCCAAAGAGAGTGCTGCAGACTTGATATTGTATTGCACTGTTTGAAAATTCTGGCTATGGTAGTTTCCCATAAATCACCTTTTAAGAGCTGAGAGATTTCTTTTACCTGACAAGCGAATCACCAAACTTGTCCTCAGTGATGAGTTCAAATTTAGTTTTTTTATTATTGGTGATCCGCATCTAGTGCGGATCACCTCTTGTTATTGTCAGGATTATCATCATCTTTTTGGTGAATATCTTGTTATTGTCAGGATCATCATCATCTTTTTTTGGTGGTGAGCATGTAGTGCATTTATGTTATTATTCATATCTTATTTAAAATTAAAATTAGCAGAGTTGTTGCTATTGTGTCACCCCTTTCTTGTCTGGTTGAGTATAAACTTTAGGGTTCAGACATTCATGTCATGACAAGTTCTATATAATATCACAATTAATCTTTTATTCATTGTTGTACGTTTCACATCGTCTTTAGCTGACCGTTTGCAATTCTTCCGTTTGCTATTTTCTGGGTTTTCCCCAAATGCCGAAAGCAGGTAATAGGCACAAAAATATATAATTACATAATGTTTTTTTCTACTCAGGATGTATCAAGCAAAAGAAACAGGCTCCAGGAATAATAATGGTGAGTGAAAATAATGAAATTTTAAATTATCATTTAACAATAAAATAATGTGATATTATTGTGACATCAGACATATATTTGAATGAATTACATGTTTGTGTGAGAGGTGCTATGGCATATTATGCCACAACTGTTTACCCAGAAGCTTGCCATAAACACACTGTGATTCTAGCTTGTTTCATAGCTAATGTACTGTACATGTGCAGTTAATGGTTGAATTGAGTATTTAACTGAGCAACCAATCACCACAATAACAACAAGGTGACTGACATATATTATTTTAAAGTTATTTTTGGACACTATATGAAATAAAAGCATTAATTGTAGGAGCCATTAATGGCTCCTTTAGCTGTTATTTTCTATACTCTCTTTAGTACTTTGATTATATAGTAATTGTGTATTATAATTATTATAATTATTATAATTATTTATTTATTCATTATTATAATCACTTTGTTAAGTGTTGGTTTTAGCTCTTTGATCCAAAGCATTTCTTTAATTAAGTAATCAAATTTGGATTTGCACTTAGATAAAATCTTGAAATAAATTAACGGCTTTAGTAGCACTAATATCATGATTTTTTAAGTGTTGCCCTATATTACCTTTTGTTGTGCTCATCAGTATGTTGATAAAGGTGTTGACAAATTTTGCCGACAAAGCTTGCATCGCACAAGCCACATTGATATTTTTATACAGTACAATTCATTGTTCATTAACAATCTTAGGTTTTCTTTCAATTTTAGAATGAATTATTATTATTATTATTATCTTTATTATTATAATCATTAATTTTATCTATAAAATTGTTACTATGTCATGGCCAGGATAAGCCATCATCCAGTCAAGAAAGAGAGTCTCCACAGCCACCTTATTTTGAAATGGTTGATACTTCAAAACCTGTTGATGACTTACACCAGAGAGTCCCTGAAATGGTACGCAAGGTATGTGAAACTAAAATTTGTTATTAAGGTGTTTTTTTATTAGCCTCCCCAAAGGAGTAAAGTTCCAGGGAGGCTATTGTTTTTACCTGTGTTCTTCTTCATGTTGTCGTCATCATCATTGTTGTCGTTGTTGTTGGGATTTGTTTGTTACCAAGATAACTAATGTTTGGTATTAAGTCCTGAAGGTAGATAGATAGAAATTTTTCTTTATTCTTTATTCAGTCAGTATTGTATAGTTTGATTCTCAACATCAAAGCTGTTTTGATTTACAGGACGATGCGCTCCCTCACATCGCGTGATCAATTATGAAGGCGCCCTCAGCGAGGGCGTATTTATAAAACTCACGGCAAATCGCTTAAAGCCCGTTTTCAAATCCACGCAACGAACGACTTCCCCATGTATTCGCATGCGCAATACGATTTCACACTCCACTGCCCGTCGTAAAACACGGCGTCATCTAAATCGAAAACTGCTTAATGTGGGTAGGTAGCGTAGCGATAACCTACTTCTTACATGTTAATAATATTGATAATAGCGCTCCGCACTTACTATCCTAGTTCCCATCAAATTACACTTACCTCTTTCACCACTTATTACTATGATACTATAGGCCTAGGTCTAATTTTAGGGTTATTGCCAACCATTCTCTTTCCCAATTTTGGTTTATAAAGTCGTAGCTAGAGGGCTAAAATTTTGGATAGAATATCAGAGTATTATTGAAAGTTAAAAAAACATTTAAACATTTATTTCAGCAAAATTAGAATCTGACCCAGATTTTTGAGGTTTTAACTTGGTTAATCTTGGGCGACACAAAATTTGTTTTGCATTAATATTAACTTACCTTGACCAGGATCAATCATGGGCTGTAAAAGTTGACACTTGGTGATTTCCAACAGAGAGTTCTTGAAATAGGTATTCCGCATCCTCCTCAGCCCCACCATGGTTGGAGCTGAGGTGAGTGAATTTTAAGAATAGGAACACTAAAAAATGGCACTCTCAGATGGTAAAAATATGCTTTTTCAAAGCAGTATTCTGCGACAAAAAATGATTGACTTCCTCACAACGGGAGCTATGCTCCCTCTCTCTTAGACACCCCTCCTCTCACAGGCTTTGCAAAGGTCTAATCAAGGACGTACTGTATAGTCTATTTTATACTGGGAGTAGCAAAGCAAATTATGATTTTGGTACCTCTAGATGCCCGGAAATGGCACTCACTGGATTAATATGATATACTGTATGTCCTACAATCGATGTCAGTGACACAATGCTGTTATGTATTAGCAAAGCCCTTTTGGATCAGGGTGCTATAGAGTGAGGACCCTACTTGGCAGTATGGTTAGGGGCACCGAGGGGCCCCTCCTAAGGATTGGTGGCCATTGGAGCAAATTTTAAGAATAGACCCCTCTAGAAACTCGGAAATGGCACTCTCAGACGGTAAAAATGCTTTTTCAAAGCAGTGTTTTTCGACAAAATTATTGACTTAATTCCTCACAATGGCAGGTATGCTCCCTCGTATGCTCCTTCTCCCTTAGACACCCCTCCCCTCATGGGCATCGGAAAGGTTTGATCAAAGGACCTATAGTCTATTCTATACTGGAAGTGGCACTCATTCAGACTTAAAATTTAAATATTTTATCTAAATTTTTAAAAATTTTGACAAATGTAGGGTGGCCCTGGCTGGCTGTGCACCCCACCCCACCCCCACTGGATTAATATATGTCATACAGTCGCTGTCCGAGATACATAATATGCTGTTTTGTATTAACAAAGCCATTTTGGATCAGGGTGGTATATAGTGCGAGGACCCTACTGGACCCTCGTGGGTAGGGGCACCAAAGGGGCCCCTAAGGGTCGGTGGTCTGCGGATCTTCACACAAGAACGCGTAGGCGATACTCCATGCTGAGCATGGATAGCTCTTCTATAGCTTGGTACTACATTGCTAAAAAAAACTCTTTCTATATGTCTCCACATTTTGGCCTTTTTACATTTGATTTATGCGTCTGGGATATAGCGTTGTGTTCATCAATTGAAAATTCAAAATTAGTGAGTGGAAAATAATCGAGCTCTCGTTTCTCCCTCTACTTGATCCGCCACTGAACTCATGGGTACACTTCATTTTTTTCCCTCTTTCTTTCTTCCCTGTAACTCTAACTTTTTTGGTTTTTCAGCGTGACTGACAGTGGGGGGGGGGCACAGGCCCCCGCTGGATTCGCGTCTGTTTATGTTCTTTGATCTTTAAATTTTGTCTAAGCAAAGACTATATATTGAAGATGTGTAACTTGTTACTTTGCTCGAGTCACCTATGGAGGGGTCTGCTAGAATGGGGAACGGATAGTGACCTTAGATAATTTGATAATATAAATTGAAAGGAACAAGAATTTGACCCTAAATTTTTGAGATTTGTTTTTTGGTTTTTGTTTTGTTTTGTTTTTTTTTTTGTTTCTGTTTTTTTTTTTTTTTTTTGTGTTACTATTAACTTTCAAAATAATTTTGTGGTTATTTTGACCAGGATCAGTCATGGGCTATAAAGGTTGACACTGCTCTATCTGTTAAGGAATTCCATCAGCGAGTTCCTGAAATGGCACATGAGGTAGGAGAAAGAATTAATCGTTTATTTAAATTTTTCAAATTGATTTAAAATTAAACAAACATTGAAAAGCTGTTCACCAATACTACTACTCTTTTTTATTAGGAATTTTAGCGTGATTGACTAAAAAATTTGTGATTCAAAACACACACACACACACACACACAAAACAAACACTATAAATCACATGTAAAAAATCATTTGGTATGAATTCTGTAATTTTTTGCATTGAGCATAATCAAAACTGACTATACTGTATTCATAAAAATATTTTTACACTTCAATGGTAATATTGAATCTAATGATATCACATGCTACTTATTACATCCTATAAACCCCAGGTAAAACAAGAAACATGGAAAGTGCATTCTGAACTCTGTACTAATTGTAAAGGATTTCATTAATTGCCACTGATTCAAATAAAAAACATACATAAATGATGTACTTGATTTAGTGACTAAATCATTCAAACACAAAAAAATCCATTTCGTTTTGCTATAACATTCTTTCTCGTAATTATTGGTCTGTGGTTGATGATTCACACCTGAGTGTCTGACACTGTAATTGTGGAAAAGGGTATAGAAATATCACTTGGGTTTTTTTTTTTTTTTTTAATTATTATAAATCCAGTTTTTATTTTATTTTATTTTTTTTTTTGCAGTTTAGATTTGAGTTGGATTGGTTTCAGAGACAAGCTATTGTACATCTGGAAAACAAACAGAGTGTGTTTGTGGCAGCACATACATCAGCAGGGAAGACAGTTGTAGCAGAATATGCCATAAGACTCTCACTTAAGCATGGTACCAAGTAAGAGCTCAGTTTTTGTACCAGACTACTATACCACTGTCATTCAAGCATGGAAGCAAAGCTCATTATTTATCCATAATAGATTAACCTAGTATTCTCTCAATATGGTACTACTGTAAAGAGCTCAATATTGATCCATGCAAGATTACCATAGTATTCTCTCTTAAACATGGTATCACAATTAAGAGTTCAATGTTTAACCCTACATTCTTTAGGAAATATCAATACATATTATGTAAGATATTTACATCATATTATTCAAAATATTACTTTAAAACTTTAAGAATCACAATATATATACAAAGTTACTTGAATACAGTACCCGATGTTCAATTGAATAATGAAATATATAAAGACAAAAGTAATTAAAAATGGATTAAGAAAAATTAATAAATAAGTATTATTTATTTTATTTTATTCAAGAATACAATATATAAACTAACAAAATATATATAAAGGTGAACTAGGGAGCAGCAAAAAATTGATTGATTATTTGTATGAAAAAAATTTTGTGGTATGCCATGTCTAATGCGGCAAAAAGAGACGACAACTGCAACTGCTTTGCGATGATCCAGAAGAAGAACAAATTATGAGTTTTCGCATGCACATGTTTGTATGCCAATTGAAAAGTTTCTGAGATTATTTCAGACAAGTACATTTATGTTTGTGAGTTAATATATTCTGCTACACCAAGAATATTTAATCTTTTTTTTACATTTCCATTTCTATAATTTAGTTCAATTACAATATCAAATACTATACATATGTTTGTTTTCATTTTCAGAGCAATTTACACCTCACCAATAAAGGCTTTGTCCAACCAAAAGTACCAAGACTTCAAGAAATCATTTGGTAAAAAACACGTTGGTCTGCAGACAGGAGATGTACAGATAAATAAAAAAAAAGCTTCCTGTGTCATCATGACAACTGAAATTCTAAGGTTTTTATTCAATAAAGAAATCACTCACATTCAGATCAAGAAATGTTTATTGACTGGACCACATTTGTGATGAGAAAAACCGGTGTTGTCCAGGATTTGAACCCAGAATTGGAAGAATCAAGCTTCACTTCCACTCCGTCATCCCAAATACTATATCAATCATTAACATGAGGGAGGCGGTTGGCGCAGCGGTTGTTGCTTAGGTTCTCAACCTTGTGGTTGAGAGTTCGAGCCCACTCTGTCCATTTCCGGCCAAGCTTAGATACCTCAGCTTGCATTGTCAACTGGCTGTAAAAATGGTTTATGCCATGTTCCAGTCTTAGCTGCAAGTCGGCTACAGCCCCTGGCATTGTTTTGGACATATAAGATCAGTCCCACCCTTCGCAGGGCCTTGTTATAGGGCTTAACCTTTGTCCAGCATCTTCTAATCAAAAATATAAAAGCTATAAGTTAGTAAAATGCATTTCAGTATTAAAATTTCCCTAGAAAATGAAAAATGTCATTAATTCCTAATAATTTGTCTTGAGTGCAAAATACTGGTTGCTGAAAATACATTTTAATAACACCTGTGGAATATCCAATCAGACACGATTCAGATTTGTGTCACTTTTTCAGAGATCTCACAATAATTTATCAGTAATTTGACAAGATTTGTGGTCTAGAAACAATATAGCCAAAGGTTCTCATAGAATAATCATTGCCCTGGATGTTAGCCAACCTATTTATGGATTTTGCCTAATGATAACATCCATAGCATTTTTGTCTATTTCCATTATATACATAATAAGGCAAAAATTCTGTACAACTATGGAAATGTGTACACCTTTAGAACTCTATTCAGGGAATTTGAATTTCAAAAACACCGACCATAAAAGGGTAAAAAAACAAAAATATATTTACATGGTTTAGTGTTTGGGAAACTACAGAAGCTGTCTTTAAACTAACTTCCATTTCTGTATGTAATGTTGCTTTAAAGCTGTAGCATTGTGGAATATTCATTGTATAGGACTAGCAACATTTTTCATTAAAATATTTCATTTTCTTATATTCACCACATAAATTTGACCAGGTCAAAGCTGTATGATCCTGAGGAGCTCCATGGTCTGGAATGGGTTATTTTTGATGAAGTCCATTACTTCAATGATAAATCGGTAAGCAATTGTTATGTTGTCACAACTATGATAATGTTAATAATTTGTAACAGTGTTAAGACTAATGTTATAAGACTTATTATTCTTATTCTATTCATAGCTAAAAAACATTGTGTTGTTTATTGACAATTTTTGAATCGATTTTGTCTGGTCAGATTTTATATTTAAGTATGCACCTTTTTATAGTGCAGTTTATGGCTGGCTTCAGACCATCATAATCAATTTTGGTATTTTTATCTAATTACTATACAATGTCATAATGATAATTTAGATAGGGAGTACATGTCTGTCTTTCTACATTTTTAGAGAGGAGTAGTTTGAGAAGAGATTCTGATCATACAGTAGTACCAGTTACAAACAATCAGATGGGAAAAATCAGTGATATCTTCTGATAAAAGTCCAATCATGTTCTGATATTGAAGTCATATTATATATAAATGACGACTGTTAATAAACTTTTATTATTATATGAACAATGAAATAAAATGTTTAAATAAATATGTATAGGCACAATTTTCACTATTAATATCACCATCGTTATTGCCATCATTACCATCATTTTCAACATCATTGACTCCACATACTATCGTTACCACTAAGAACATTGACAACTGGAAATTGGTTTTTAGTACTTTCAGCCATGGAAGAATTTTGTGTTTAGAAACAATCAGTTGCATGCACCTTGTTGAATTGCATTCTCCATAAGATTGCATCGGTATACACATTGCGCAACTGGATTTAGACTCTGAAAACACAACAAAGTATTTTGGGATCGATTTTCTTTTTTTTTTCTGTTCCTTGATTAGTGGATCCTTTGGTTATTATTCTAAAACTCTAGTATTTTTATCTATTTTGCTACACAAAAGTATATGTAATTCAGATAGGAAGTACATAACCTATTTTTTAATGGTTTTAGAGAGGAGTAGTTTGGGAGGAAGCTCTGATCATGCTGCCAAAAACAGTGAACCTAGTCCTTCTGAGTGCAACATTCTCTAACAAAATGGAATTTGCTAATTGGATTGGGTAAGTTTTTACTTTAATAAATTGTGTATTATAGTATACAATATCTATCAAATAATGCTTATTTGCTTTGCTGTATGGTAGATTTTAATAGAAATATGTTTTTTTGATGTACATAATTTTGTGTCAATTTTGTATCAATTTTTCTAAATCATTTTATATAATTATTGATTAATTAATATAATAAATAATATTGACAGATTAATAAAAATATTTCATAGAGTAAATTGTTTATGTCCATGTGATGGGCATGTTTTTCAAGCACTTACAGATATTTTAATTAATTGCAATACCTAGAAAGATCAAAAAGAAGTCAATTTATGTGATTGCAACTGCAGAGCGACCTGTACCTCTACGGCATTTCTTGTATACTGGAACTGAGGAGATAGCTGAAAACCAACTGTTCCAAACAGTGGATGTGACTGGAGATTTTAACAATGAAGAGTAATGAAATTGATTGCTTTGTTATGTGTAGAAAAGTTGTGGAAAATAGAATATAGAAACCATATAAGTTTCTTCATATGTAAATAATCTTAGGATGATTCCACTAAATTATGTATTAACATGTTGGCTGCAGGTATACAGCACTCGTTCCACAGGCTGATCTTGAAGGCACTAGGGATGACTAAACTCGCCATTATCGGAGTAAAATTCCAGCATTTATTACTTCTTTGTTATAATTGACGAACCACAGGCTGCGGGAAGACAGTGGGAATTATCCTTGTTGTATGTGACACTGCAGGACAATGCGGTACGGTAGACGTGAGCAATGCGTGAACAATATTTAATCTATGCGTAAACAAGTACCTGTAGTGCCATTGCGTGTCAATACGTGTCAATACAGTACATTGTGTACGCAGTGCGTAACTTATACGTATACAGTTCGCGAACAGGCCGCAAACACAGGTTCACGCTCTGCTACGTACCACTGAAATGTCACATCTTGCCACAACGCATTACGCGGCATTGCGGGGACAAAAATCGTGCAAGTGTCAGGGTGGCTTTAGTAAGAAATATACCTAAATTGTACTTTCAGCGATCAAGACTTTTTATTTATTTTTTCCCGACAATGTTACCGGATATTCCCCAAAATGGGGGTCCTAGCGGTGGTCCAGAGGTCCCAAACAGGGGGTCCTTTCCCCCAGGATCCCCTGCTAGTGCCGCCCCTAGGATAAATCTCCAGGAATTTGACTTTCACAACTTCGGACCCCGGCACACCATAATATAACTGCATGCGTCATTATCGCAAGCATCCAGTGTACCTACATCATAAAAATTTCCATAATCACAAACATCATCACACTTTAAATATCTAATGTGATGCTCTGCAGAATTCAATTAAACAGTACAGATCAATATATTCTAATAAATCTTCCAAATTTTCTAAATTTTTATGTATATACAGTATATGTCCTTATTGAAAATCAGTGAGAAAATTTGGTTAACATTGGTAATCCATGATAGTCCCAGAGCAGGGCCTGCTACTGTCTGACACTGGGAGACATTTCCTTACTCTATAGCGTACCGATGGCTAAATGGTCCATGTGCAAGAAAAATGTATGGCATTGGCAGGTCTCAAATTCAGTTCATTTCTGCATTAACTTTCCTGTAAAAATGGTCACAGTTTTATTATTTATTTTGTTCAGATATGAAAGAGCATTGATGGCTGTAAATGAAAATTTAACCCCAAAACAAGCATCAGATGTAAAGGTACTGTAAATCCATTGATTTTTATATCTGAGTATATTTATTATTTTTACAATAAATATATAGCGCACATATCCAGATAGCTGCACAAGGCACCATTTTTTCCCTGGTCATTGAATACAGAATCAATCATACACATCACGTAAACTTCTCCGCTCGCCGGGAGAACAATCAGCACTACTAATTTCATTCCAAATCATTCACCTTCTAACAGGTACCGATTATAGTCCTGAGTGAAGAGAGGCAAATGCAGAAAAGTATCTTGACTAAGGACTAAGCAGAACCCTGACCTTCAGGTTGAAAATCGAACAACTTTACACGCCCATTGTCATACATGTCTATTTAATAATGAATTGAACTTATTTGAATTAGTGTTAGGTGAAAAGTTCTAAATGTTTACATAGTCATTAAAAGTGTGTTATTTGGTTGTTGGTTTAGAGTTTGAGAATATCAGGTAAAGCTACTGTAAGAAGAGCAAATAAGTTAAAATAAAGGAGGGGTAGGATTTAGGCAAATGTAAAGCAGGCCACTCACTGCTTCCGAAAGGAGTAGCGTACCTCTAGCTCTCTGCTGGGAGCTCTAGCCAACTCCTCTCTCCTACCCAGCACTGTAATGCAGAGTCTGAGGAAACACTCTAGTACTCAGGTGTTCTTTAACTATAATCTTGGAATTCTTAGAGAATTCATATCCTGTATTCAACAGTTGAATGATAGCAAAATTTTTGTACTGATTTTAAAAAACATATTCCTACTGTAAAGGGGGCCCTCGTTTGAGTGTAATTGAACAATAAAGAACGATGCTCATTTGATTCAGATTGGCTGTCGTAGTATTCTACTTCAGACCAACATAATTTGTGGTATCAAAGTGACATTTTATTAAAATAATCAATCAATTTGGCTAATTAAATCACTTTGTATTGGTATTTTCAAGCCTATTAGACAACATGCAGAAAAAGCTATACGCCTACAATATTGTACAGAAAGTAAATTTTTGTATGTCTGATTTTTGTAGTGTTAATAGTATATATTTTTTGATATTGGAAATGTATATGATTGATTTATTGGTTGATAATTCTTTATATTGGCAAAACCTCATTGAGAGTTAGATCATTACATCCATGGCTAAGCATGTATACCTATACATATTGAGGACAATCCACATGCGATTTATGCATAGACTATACGTTGCATGCAGATATTCTAAAAATGTGCATTGAAGAGGGAGAGAAATAGGTGGTAGGGTATATATTTATCCATACACTAGGTCTCCCTGATAGAATCGTGCGGGAAATAACCTCAAGACGAATAAATAACAATAACTAAACCATGTACATAGTGTATCACTACTACAATAATAAGATTAACATTTTCAATCTTATAATAAATTTTATACAGCCGGTGTTATGTATTGACCTAGGCTACTACAGCTAATGACAGGTATGCTTTCACCATTAAAGGCTTTTTCTATGAATGGAATGACCTGTACGAAACACAAGCTCCTGTAGACCAAACCCAGTACCATTACGATTTTAATCGTGCGGGAAATATCCTCAAGAAGCAGACCACTCAATGCTGTCAAGCTATTCTGCTTCAGACCAACATAATTTGTGGTATCGAAGTGACATTTTATTACATGTATTCAGTATATATTTTTGTTGTCTTTCAGGACAAAAATTGGTACTTATCATTTGTCAAAATGCTGCATGGAAAAAACTATTTACCAGCGATTGTGTTCACATTCACAAAGAAGAAATGCAGTGAGAATGCCATGTTTTTGCAGTCTTGTGATCTGACCACCCGTAATGAGAAACATCAAATTGAAAAATTTTTAAAATCATCATTACAAAAAATGCCAGAATCAAGCCAGACATTATCGCAGGTAATTCATTTCATATTTTTTTAATATTAATTATCACAATGTTAAATCAATTTTTATTTCTGTAAGGTCTCTATGCTTCAATGCTCTCTGTAGGTTTTTTTGTTTGATTCCTATGCCCAGCAGCATAAGAAGCATAGGACATGATGTACATAATTATAATGCTCACATGTGTGTGTGTATAAAAACACTGACGCAGGTTGGTGCATGCGGTAGTGATTTGGTCTCTTGACATTGATGTTGGGAGTTCCAACGCCTACACTGTCCATTGGCTTGTGTCCCAAGGCATGAATCTATCCACATTGTCTCTCTCCACCCAGGTGTATAAGTGTCAAATATGGTCAAAGGTCAAATATGTACTGACTCAGCAGTGGCAGATGTGGAGTATGTTCCACAGGAAATCCAATGACCAGTTGTAATAATGTGCAGAGCAGTACATTAGTGATATGCGCTATAAGGATCAATTTATTTATTATCTATTTATTTAACAATCAACTCTGTACACACTTTGGTTCTGAATTTTTTTGCTTGGCATCTCATATTGATTCCTATTATTTAAATTTCATTTTTGATGAATATTAATGCTCAGTAATCAGTAGGTCCTTAATATAACTTAATATAAAACATGCTCCTAATAAAGTGAGATTTTCCGTTGCCATTTAATCAAAATTGCATGTATCACTTTATTAGAAGTATCTTTTATAAACCTGATTTCCGCAAATTGATGTATTATAATTATTTTTAATCGTGAAGTAAACATTCTGTAATATTACCATGCACAGCAAATGAAATTAGATGTGTAAGTATAGCTCATTTAAACAGATCTCCTAAAAGTGATTTTTGCCAAAATTTGGGACCTCTTTGTAGACAACTTGACAATGGCTGTATTCGACTGGTCATTTTTTGTTAAACCACGCCTGTCTGCGCAATGTAAAATCCTACTTAACAAAGATGACAAAGAAGACAAAATGAAAATAGTAAATTCCCTGGATTAATTGAAGCATATTTTGCATTTTTCAGATCACTGAGTTGAAGGAGATGCTGAAGAGGGGTATAGGTTATCACCACAGTGGAGTCTTACCTAGAATGAAAGAGATTGTAGAACAACTTTTTCAAAAGTGTTTTGTGAAGGTACTTTTACTATTAAAGTTTTTGTATCTTTTTCTCACTTTATGCAAGATGCATGACTGAGCAGTTAATGTTGGCACTGTTATGGTTCCTTCTGGTGGTAGAAAAAGTCTTCTCAAGATGAGTAGGGTGTTACCCTGATGTACTGGTCCATATATATGTGGACAGACTGCAGTAGCTCTTGTGTTGGTTTGAACCCGATAAATAAAGCGAATTTTTTTAAAGGTTCAAATAAGCAATTTGATCAACAGATATGTCAATGACCAAACAAGCAAAGGTCTTGACTTGTACCAGCGACACAAGCAACGAAGATACTTTCGATGTGTGTAGCATACTTACTTTCTTAGAAACTGAATGTCTTACTACTGATCATTCCTCTGGTTTAGGTATTTGCTCAAAATAGAAATTTCTGAAGATGTGACTCACAAATCAAAGCAGCAGCATACAAATCACTCATTCTCCCAAAGCTTGAATACGCATGCTCAGTTTGGGATCCAAATCAAGTTCGTTTAATAAACAAATTGGAGATGGTGCAAAGAAGAGCTGCAAGATTCACAGTATCTGACTACAACAGAATGTCAAGTGTCAGCGCATGGCCAACTCTAAAACAACGCCGAAAAAAAACCAGGTTATTGCTAGCATTATTATTAACAAACCATCAAAAATGTGTGCCAATAAACCATCCAGAAAATAAAGAAATGTGAATTCACATAAATCGACCCCAATTCGATGTCGCCCACAAAATTATAAACACAGTTTTTTGCCCAAAACAATAAATGGTTGGAATAAACTTCCATCTGAAGTCATCCAGCCTAATGAAAAATCAACTTTCAAATCAGCTAGGTATCATCAGATAGGTATTACCAAAATTAAACTAAATAAATAAAACTTCCTCAACTAATATGAAATAAACTTGAATAAGTTTGAGCACACGTTGCACACAAGTAGCAAAATACATTGGATAAAAATGCTGACGTTACGAGCGATGTCCAATTAGCAATTATGAGATTCTGAGATCATCGTTTCGAGGATCATATCTTTACTTTAAAATCTATATGTAATATTGTACTAAGAGAAAAAAAAGTCACTTGCCTTGCCTTCCTGGACTTCCGTAAAGTTTTCGACACAGTATGGAGAAATGGATTGAGAGCTATCTTATATAACACTGGTATAAGAGGCGGAACACGTTAGATGCAACATTAAGTTTTCCGAATTTGAGACTGATACACTTGAAACAGAAGAAGGGATAAAGCAAGGCTGCCCACTTTCTTCCGTGCTGTTTTGTATTTATATAAATGAACTTGCTAAAGCCCTTTAAAAGCGACAAGTTGTTAACAATATGTGAAGTATATATTGGAGTTCTTTTTTCGGGTTAATGATGTAGTCATTGTAGCCACTGAATTTTCAAAAATAATTGGAAACTTTATTATAATTATGGTAAATCAAAGGTAAAGGTTATTGGTAAAATAGAAAAAGACAAAAAATAGTTTTTATCAATCATAGAGAAGCAAAATGATTTTAATCGTGTTGTTTATGGAGATATTCTATGGCATACACTTCCTATACCTTGTTTAAATTATGCTCTCAAAAGAATTAAAAACTTACAAACAATTATGGCCAGATATATAGTAAAGGCAAGTCGCAACACCCCCATAGAAGCCTTACTTGGAGATTTAGAGTAGCAACCTATCCGTATTACCCAACAATATACAAGAGTAGGCCTATTTATCGAGGTTGGAAGATATGGAACTCCACAGGTGGCCAAAACTCTTATTTAATGCTTCAATGTATTTAACATGCGCAGAAGAGAGTATGAGATACAATTTTTTGGCTACAGTGAGAAATTCATTGAACAACTGTGAGATGCATGAATTCTTTGCCCACATCACAGATAATGATACATGGGTCAGTACATTTAAACATAAAAACAACTATCTGTGCAATGTTAACTGGATTACTAATGCTAAACTAATTAATTATTATATTGGAATAAAAGAATTGCCCAAAATGGAGGATTATTGCTACAAAGCAGCCAATTCATATTCTTGACAGCAATTTGACCTCTGAAAGGTCATTGTTTGTCAAAAAACGAGTGCCTAAGACGACTGAAAAGCAGAGTTTCCTTCATTCTGCCGGGTAAAATCAATTACTTTAGGCGACGTTTGTAGACTAACCTACTCGTACCAACGTCCGCATGTCGCACTAGCCTTATCCTATTCTAGGCCTAGACTAGCTAGGATGGTATAGGCCTAGCCTTGAAGGGACGAAGGTCCCAATGAAAAACAACGTCGCTCTTTGATAGTTACCATTGTCTATTTAACATCACAATAATTCATTATTAGACCTATAGTTGTTTTTTGAATTGTACTCCACAAATCTCAGCCGATACCTCGCACAACTGGCTAACGTCTCTATCTATTGTCGTGAGGTCATGGCTCGCTGGCTCACACTTGTGATATGTCTCGCACTTGTGATCAAATAACACGCTGGCTTGCACTTTGGCAACACTCTTTGGCAGTCAACTCGCCCCTAGAGAACCCGCCCTTGGAAACTTGCCCCATAAAAAAATGTACACTTCCTAGACCATGCAGTCTTCGAAATAAAAATTGTAACCTTTGGTAATCAACTACATTTTCCACATACATAGAAATTTTTGAAACATTATTTAAAAAAACCTAAACCATAATTCACCACACTATAGACACTTTTTGACATAAATGAAAAATTACGATTTGTTACCCAATGAGAAGTGTTCTAATATAGACAATGGCATGGACACAGAGAAATGATATTATAAATTGTAAAACCTAATCAGTCTGAACATGTATATATAATTTATTTGCATGAAAGAAATTGTATCTTATTTCATACTTTAAAATAGAAAAAAAAATCAGAGAAATGTTGTTATAAATGGTAAAAATTTATTGGCCTTTTTTATTACTTTTTTATACATGTTACTGTTCATGAAGTATTATCAAGTTTTAAGAATCCTTTTTATTTCACGTTTTGTACATTGCCTTGTTGCTGTTTATGTTATTTGTTTTAAATTTTGTCTTTTATGAACGCACCGTAATGCTATGCGTGATGTGTGATTTACTGCATAGATTAGATATGAAGACCCTTAGGAGGAAGGAAGTTTAACTGCACAAGCTTGTCTATACTTTGAGTGCTTTGAGACTCTGGTATAAAGTCTAACTACCATACATTACACATTACATTTTTGTTTCTTCACTTCAGGCTGCTGCAATAAGTATCAAATAATAATAAGTACATTTCATGTACAATTAAAATAGAAACAGTATTTTGGTTTGGTTTTGGTCTGCAGGAGTTTGTGCTATGTACATGTTATTCCATTCATTTAAAAAGAAGCCTTTAATGGAGAAAGTGTACCAGTCATTAGGTCAAAACTTAACTGAGGCTATATTATAATTGATTATAAGATTGAAAATTGTTAATCTTACAAATGAAATGAAATTATTACTTTGTCTACGTTTAAAGCTTTGTTTCTGTAGAATCGCTTGTCACCTTTGCCGATTACGTTGCAGACGTATCAGGGTGTATTGCTATCTGTCCTGACACAATCAGGAATGCACCCTGATTAGTCTGCAACGCAATCGGCAAAGTTGAAGTAGGTTCAACCTTCCTGATACCTGTCGGTGACTGTTGCTGATAGGGTGAGCAACTTTATTGAAACTGAGCTTAAGTTAATCTTATTTATTAGTTGATATTATATATATTTGAATTTATATTTAATATATTGTTTAAGTAGGAATTAATACAGTATGTCCATGCAAGAAATTTACTATTTGAATAGTAACTATAAATATTGTGTAATATCAGAATATATAAAATAAAGTAATATATAATTTAAAATAACATTAGTATTTTAACTGTTTTTATAGTACAATAAGGTACAGAGAGAAAAGGTTTTAAAAGATTGATTGATTGATTGATTGTTTGTTTTAGGTCCTATTTGCCACAGAGACATTTGCTAGTGGGGTTAATATGCCAGCAAAAACAGTGATCTTTAACTCAATTGAAAAGTATGATGGGGAGGAGGTACGCCCTCTGAATCCTGGAGAATACATCCAGATGGCTGGCAGAGCAGGTAGAAGAGGTATAGATGACTTTGGTTTATCCATCATAGTATGTAAAAGTGACAAGTCTGGAGACAAGCCACAGATTTCAGTATTGAGAAGTTTACAACAGGTGAGATTCAGATTTCAATACACTTAAGGTGTTTCCGTGGTCTTGCACTGAATTACATACAATAGTTAATGTCAGCCTAACCACTGAATCCACTGCCCCTGTTCCTTCACACTATTCCTTTCCCCTGTAGTCTTGCTAGCACTTCCCTATCCTGTTCTTCACCCTCGTTAACCCAGCTTACTAGGTATATGAAGGCTTTGGTTTGCTCCAGTTGCTGTCTCCAATGTTCAATTAAATTCAACATAATATTTATTTATTTCCTTTTTTTGCAAAAGGTGATCCGCAACAGCAAAACTGGCTGTTCTTTTTAGACCTATTTTTATTATTTTTTTAATTATGATTATTTTATTATTTAATACTTAAATCTGTTTTTTGACATATAAATACTTAATTTGTTATCACCCATAGGGGAAGCCTTGTCCTGTTGAGTCTCAGTTTCACCTCAAGGATAATATGATCTTGAATTTAGCTAAAAGGGCTAAGCTTCAGGTTGAGGATGTTCTGAGGCAGAGCTTTGCAGAGTATAGCAGAGATTCTACACAAAGAGAACTTCTAGATTTGGAAAAGCAGTTAAAGAACGTGGAACCTGTACTCTGTGGTTTTTGCAAAAACGATCTGAAAGAATACTATGCCGAATGCAAGAGGATTCATTCCATAAAATCAGATTTGAAGGTAAGATACCAGCAAAGGATAGTGAATGAAGAAAGCTGTTGTAAACTTGTCTTGTTTATTAGACTAATAATATATAAAACATTATTTGAATTGCTTTCTTTTATTTTGAAGTTATTTTTGATCAATTTGAAATTAGAACAATAAAAGGTTTTATGCTTAAATAACCTAGGAAGTTACTGTCACTCTTGTGATTTCATATGGTTTTAAACAAATAGTCTTAAAATAGTGCTTGTCAGTGGTTGTGATTTGTATTCCCTAGTAGCCCTGGACAAGTAAAATTAAAGCTGTACACATTGAAAAAAAATTTACCAATTACTGAGTTTGATTTGCTCACATGTTGGAATAAGTTTGCGGCCATATTTATTACCTTATGCCAACAATGATCACTTTTATAATGTGATCAGAGAGAGAAATAATCATAATTCATAATAATGACAATTTAGAATTGTTATGTTCTTTTTATTAATCCAATTAATTTTAAAATATTAAAAAAACAACTTACACAATGTTTTACTGATACTCTACTCCATACCTATTATTTATTATTATGATCATTATCAAAATATTTTATTCTAAATCATTTTTTCCCCAGAATATTGTATTGTTTTTACATTATTAATTAAAATTATAACAAATATGTTTCTCATTAGTATAATTGCAGACTTTATTCACAACCAAGTGGTCAAGTTGTTGTGGTTTACTCTCCAAAACACAATCATTTTCTAGGGATCATCCTATCAAAAGACTTAAAGAAGTTTAAAACTCTGGTTATATATGATAAGCTGTCTCCTATGGGTAAACGCAAAAGCAAACTAAAAGTTCCAATGGTCTCAAATACAGAACTGTACCTTCCAAAGAATCTCAGCAAATCCTATGATGTTGTAGAGTTAGAAGCTGATGATTTTAATGTAACAGGAAAAGCTGTAGAAGATGCTGAGTCACTTGTTCAATACAGGTAATGAATCTCAGTTACAGCAAAGAGTATAGGACTGCAAGAGATCCAAGTATTTGGTTTCCTTGGAACACAATCCTATATAAAAAAAAAATACTATCACGAACTAGAAGGCATCCTTCCAAAGTACATTAAAAGGTGTTTGTAGTACTTTTTTAATGTTTCAATGCATGCATACAAAATCAGGGGTTGGACATATTGCAGTTCCATTCTCTTTGGTTACAGAATCAAGTTTGCATAATGAAGTAATAATATTGTAACGGCCCTGGTCCTTGTCAGAATTACCACAGGTTCGGTCAGAGCTATGGTCCCTGGACTTCAGAAAATAACAAACAAAATATTGAATGTACGCAAATATCACTCTCTAGCGAGTTGAACACTTTATTCAGTATATCGTGATTCAGTAAACAAACAATTGTGATCACTCACTCACTCTACTACTCCCACGATACAATACAGGGGCAGAGATAGAATCCCAAACAGCTACCCATATCTTACGGATCAGCCTGCATTACTAGTGGAAGTCAATGCAATCGTCCAGACATATTCTCAAGCATTAATCTTACACTCTCCATGACTTTGGTGACCCTGGGGGTCGCAGGTTTGAGTCCCGCCAGAGGCATTTTATTACACAATTTCTTTATTCACTTATTTACAGGACTACATTCGTTGAGAGCTATGCTACACGATGTATTATTATGTCCTTTATTCGAACACTGTATTTACCTTTCTTTGATGAGTA